ATAATATTAGTTTATAAAAGTACACTGAAAATAAGACATTTTGTGTATAGGCCGGGCTTCGAGCTTGAGCTCGGGCTTCGGGCTTTATATAAGGGCCAGGATCGGGCTCAAGATCTAGGCCCAATGGTCGGTTCGGGCTCGGGCTCAGGCCTACACATTTTCTGTTGATAAAGAGGCAAAGCCGACTTGAGCCCGGCCCGACACGGCCCATGAACAGGTCTATCCACAAAGCTCAAATGTAGCTCTGGTAGACCTAAAGAGGTATTTTGTGAATATTGCAAGAAGACAGAGCACACCAAGGATAGGTGTTGGAAACTAAATCCCCACCTGATGCGTGAGAAGTTTAAAACTGGAAAGAGGGTAAATACTCATGTTGCTACAGCTATTCATGATTCTCAGACTCATGCTTGGGGTAAATCCTCCTGCTCAGGCATCTACTCATGACACCTCTGATGTGATGGAAAAATTGAGAGTCATCTTACTCCATCTTGAAAAGGGTAGGTTGCCTACATCTACTGGTTCACATACACCTTTTAGGGCCTTTGCAAAATTAGGTATTGCACTTGCTTGTCATGCCTCACCCTCTAGCTCTTGGATAATTAACATAGGAGCCATTGATCATATGACTGGTATGCCTTCCTACTTTACCACTTATAAACTATTTTTAGGGAAAGGTAAGATTACCATTGTTGATGGATCTTAGACCCCAATCGCGGATTTGCGTGAAGTTAAACTTACCAACAACCTTTCTCTAAACTTTGTACCCCATGTTCCATAATTGCATAGAAATCTCTTATCTGTTAGCTCACTTACAAAGTCCCATAATTGTTCTGTAACCTTCTTCCCAATCTCATTGTGTCTTACGGGATTTGAGTATGGGGAAGATGAATGGCAGTGGATATGAACCCAATGGAGCTTATCTTCTTGACTAGTCTCCAAAGTTAGGGTTAATGTGTCAGTTTGAGTCCTGACATGATGAGAAACTAAGTCAATTGAAATTGTGGCACCACTGTCTTGGGAATGTGTCTTTTGGTTCTTTGAAATTTTTGTTTCCTAGTCAATTTGAGTCCTTGTCTAGTTATGGTCTACAGTGTGAAGTTTGTCAACTATCAAAGCAATGTAGAACCACATATTTTGCAAATAACAAAAGAAGTAATGTTGCCTTTCATTTAATACATACTGATATTTGGGGACCTTATTCTATTCCATGTATGGGTGGCTATAAATATTTCATTGTCTTTGTTGATGACTACTCGCGGTATACTTGGTTGTATTTGATGAAGAGCGGAGATGAAGTTCCTTTAATTGTAAAAGGCTTCTTCAATATAATGGAGACAGTTTGAGAAGAAAATTGAGATTATCAGATCTAACAATGTCAAGGAATACTTTGAGAAGAACTTACAAACTTTCCTTGAAGAGAAAGGAGTAATTCACCAGAGCTCATGTCCTCATACTCCCTAACAAAATGGGGTATCAGAGAGGAAAAACAGACATGTGATTGAAGTTTCTAGATGATTGTTATTCCAGATGCATGTCCCAACTTGGTTTTCGGTTTTGGGGGGGATGTTGCCCAAACAGCTGGTACATCTTATTAACAGACTTCCCTCGCGAACCCTTCATCTCCAATCTCCTCATCAGCTTCTTTTTACTGATGAGGATGCCTTCCATCTTCCTCTTAAGGTCTTTAGGTGTGTCCAAAGATGTCACATTCTTTGAGTCTACTCCTTTCTTCTCCTTCTTTCGTCCTTCTCTTCAAGGGGAGAGTTCCAATGAATATCAGACTCCTTTATGTATTTCAATTCCTATTTCGACTACAACTAATATTGCCAATCCTTCCTCTTCTCCTCCTCCCCGTGGTGGAGTAGTGCTCCTCCTGTGCCTCCTATTCCTTGGTCTTGGCACCAGTGGTTCGTCAAATGGAAAAAGAGGATGACTCCAACGATTGAATGTCCATTACAATCTGACTTCCCAGACTCAAGTAATTAGGATTCTGAACCTCTTCTTGTTTTTTATGCTTGTGTTGAATCTGTTATTGCACTTCCTAGTGTGGCTTCTAACCTTGACCTCCCTATTGCGATTCGTAAAGAAAAAGGGACATGTGCCTATCTCAAATTATGTCTCTTATGATATCTTATCACCCTCTTATTGTGTTTATATTTCTTCCATTGCTTTTGTTTTTATCCCTCACAGTGTTATTGAGGCAGTGTAGTTCTCTCATTAGAAAGATGCTATGAACCAGGAAATGGAGGCACTTGAAAAAAACCAGACATGGAAAATTGTTTCTCTCCCAGAAGGCAAAGTTCCTATTGGATGTAAGTGGGTTTACATAAGTGAACATCATTGGGAGTGAAAAAAGGTTTGCCGTGTGAAGAAATCCCTTTATGGCCTTAAACAGTCCTCTAGAGCTTGGTTTGATAGATTCAGAAAAGTTGTCTTAAAAATTGGTTTCTCACAATCTCAAGCTGACCATATCTTGTTTATTAGGAGAGTAAATGGAAAAGTGACTATGTTGATACTATATGTCGATCATATTTTTTTTAAGGTATGTCGATGATAATGTTATCACAGGGGACGATATCTCTAGAATTGATGAACTGAAGTCTTTTCTTGCTACTAAATTTGAAATTAAGGACCTTGGAAATCTCTGGTATGGTATTTCCTAGGGATTAAGATTGCAAGGTCAAAGAGGGGCATTTATATTTCTCAAAAGAAATATGTCCTTGATCTGCTTCAGGAGGTAGGAAAGTTGAATTGTAAACCAGTTGAAACTCCAATTGATCCCAATCATAAGTTGGGTGTTGAAGATGGAGATGCCTTTCCTAACAAAGGTATGTATCAAAGACTTGTTGATCGCCTTCTCTACTTGTGTCTATCTAGACCTGATATATCATATGTTGTGAGTGTGGTCAACCAATATATGCATATGCCTAGATCGTCTCATATGCAAGCAATGAATAAAATACTTGCCTATTTGAAGGGGTGTGCAGGAAAAGGAATGTTGTATTCTGATCATGGGCATCTGAAGGTAGAGCCCTATTCTGATGCTAACTAGGCAGGTTCTATTGATGATAGGTGGTCTACTTCTGGCTATTGTACCTTGGTAGGTGGTAATGTTATATCTTGGAGAAGAAACAATATATTGTGGCTTGACCTAGTGTAGAGGCAGAGTACAAAGCTATGGCTCATGGGGTTTCCAACTTGTTATGGTTGAAGAACTTATTGACAGAAATGGGAGTGCAGATTGATACTCAAGTGATATTATATTATGACAATCATGCTGTTATAAACACAGCCCACCATCCTTCATTAGAGAAGGATATAGAGGTTGATCAACACTTCATTAGAGAAAAAGTCTCCAGTAGAAAGAATTGTTTACCTTTTGTGAAGTTTGAAGATCATTTGGCTGATATGTCATACTAAAGGTGTCCCCAAATCAAAGCTTGACAACAATTTGAACAAGCTGGGCATGAGCTTAGCTTGAAGAGTGTTAAGAGTGTAAGGGCACTTTTGTCCTTTTATGTTTTTTGTATTAGGGTACCTGTTCAAGGGCCTCTTTGTAATTTTGCATAATATGTTTGGTGTAAGTTTTCTAGGTATGAACAATAACACACCCAATATTCTTGACAAAACCTCCTCCTCCTTTTTTCTTCTTCTTTTCATCTCTAACCTTTTAATTGAGTTGTTCTCCCAGTTTTCATTCGATGATATATGGAGAAATTGGGTAGTTGCCAAAAGTTTGTCAAGAAAGGACAAAGTGGAGGTTGATTGGTTACCTCCAATTGAAGGTTTTGTTAAAAGAGCTTTGATGGGAGCAACTGAGGTAATCCAGGCCCTTCAGGAATAAGAGGGGTTCTGAGAGATGGAGAAGGTAAACTTGTAGCATTGTTTTCTAGCCCTGTGGGTATGGATGACTCTCTGAATATAGAACTGCTTGCTGCAATACAAAGGGTTCAGATCGCTAGTGAGCTGAACTTGGTAAACATGGTGATCGAAGGGGACTCAAAAGTGGTGGTGGAATGGTTAAAGAATCCAGATTCCATAATTTGGTGCTACAAGAGTGAAATGAAAAAGGTTAAAAGGCTTACCGAAAATAGAATTTAATGATACAATTGGTGAGGAGATCAACAAATGGGATGACGGATGCTCTGGCTAAGCAAGGGGTGAATAGGTCCATTTGTTCTAGCACAAATGTAATTTGATTTTATTTATTGAGAGATAGCACCTTGTGTCTCTCTAATGGATGTTTGTAAAGTTTACCTCAAGTTTTTTTAATAAAATTTAAGTTATTTATCAGAAAAAATGTTTTAACATAGTAGCAAATCCTATCACATTGATCATCAATTGACATACCATCCTTTAATACCCCAATGTACCCAGGTATTTGACCCTACGAAGGATCTCATTGGTTGGCATGTCAAAGGTAGACAAGTCTGATACTCAATCTAATACCAACATCAAATCTAGGGATAAAAAGCAACATCCAGTTGTTCCACCTACCACAAAGTCTAGGAACACATTGGGTTTGGTCTAGTTCAATATTTCTTGTAAACACTCATTCTCACCCCTTAGGTCACAACCCGAGTAGCAGAGACCCATTGCTCCACTACCTTGGGTAGTGTGAGAATGACAACATTGTCAAGATAGACTCCCCATGTCTAACCACTAGTTGTAAACATTTAGGTCCACATTGTAATAACTAAATGGCCTTATACATAATACTAATATGAATTAAGGGGTGATTCAGCAGAACAAACTAATGACATAGGAAATAAATGTTCTTTTATTCATAACAAAGATAATGTACAATACGCCAATTGGAGTTGAGGGCATACACACTATCCTACAATGTATTGTCTCAATGCTCTACCATCATGGAGGAAATATTTGTAATCATAATGGGTAAGTGAAATATATTCACCAAGTTGAAATACATTGTGATAGTGAGATACCACCAAGGTCCCGACTATTTCATATAATTATTTGAATTTTAAGTCAAATACCTTTCTTTGCATAACTACGTTTAGAAAGAACTCTCGAAGCATATAGTTGTAGGACTTTTTGCAACATTGCCTCAAGGCCTGGCTTATCTTCATCTTCTTTTGCCTGCAAATCACTGAAAAAAAGATCAGTACTTTGATCAATCATTCAATTATAAACAGTATAGCATTCAAAACAGGGTACAAAACAAATTTAAAATGCAATGAAGAATTCTTCATACATTTGATACCAAGACAGAGAAATTGAGTCATGAAAGTGGTGCAGTAAGACATGGATCTCTGGATACAATCCTAATACATCACACCATAGTCTTCAGCTTTTTCATTTCCTACAGAAAATCCACATCTTTTACCTTCTTTTGTTGATTTGCTCCCATGATACATGGGATAGGTTTTAGTTGAATTAAGTTTAAGTGACAACCAATTAATGAAACACTTGAATACAGTTTGTTAAGCATTTAATTGTTCTCAAATCCCTGTAAATGTTTAAATCACTGTTTGCTTTTCTTTCAACTACTACGTTCCTCCTGGATTTTCACTCTTCAATGGCTTGATGTATATGAAGTGAAACTTTCCTGTTCTAACTGCCGGAAACAGCCTGTCCTACTTTAGGACTGCTCATATTCAATAGACACAAAATACTCACCATCCATCAAACAAAGCACATTATTCACATGAGCTTAGCTTTGTACTTGAGAAACATTTACCCCTTCTCTGAGTAGGCAAAAAATCAGAGGTTAGTTGTTAGCAGGTGAAGATTAGCTATAAACCCAAGTCCATTGTACAATAAACATGGGCTTCACTGACATGGCAGACTTCACTACTCAGGTTGTTCTTATCTTGTTTTCATGTTTGATATTCTGAACCCCAAGTCTTTGAACCTACATGTAAAACCTTTTTGTTGAGCACCATTTTTTCTCTATTCCGATGACAATGGCTCACACTCCCCCAGCTAGGCTTGTGACAGCTTCTTAGTAAGTGTGCTGTTAAACTCAATTTTAACTAGTGCTCTATCAGAAACACAATCAATTGAATGTATTTTCAGGGACAATAGAAAGATGTCTTATTAGCTTAGCAATTTATTGAAAGCTTAGCTTCTTTCCCTTTGCCCTGATCTTATATTGTCTTTCTTGGTAGACTTTGAGAGGATAATTGAAGATTCAGAATGCCACCGGAAGGGTGACATATGCATCCTTGGGTCCATAAAGACTCGGCCATCCTCTTAGAGAGGCTTGGAAGTCCCTGCTGAACCCCTTGGTTTGATGGATTCTGAAGTTCCGCAAAAGAGGGCATGAAAAAGAGAATATATATGGAGCATTTGAGAGGAGAGAAAGGGTAAAATTTCTGACAGAGATCATGGTTGCCTTTGTACAGGTAGAGTTGTCCATTGGATTCCAAATGTGGACAAATTTACTGATTTCACCTTTGGCCATGTGATGTGGGATGAAAAGCCAACCTTCCTATAGTAATGATTGGGGATTGCTGTGAAAAGAAAGGAAACAGTGAAGAGAACTATTGATGTTTGGTGATGCATCCAAATCCCCCATAGGGGCCCCGTTGAGTAGCGCAGCACGAACCAGAAAATGTACCAACTAAGCCACCCATCAGTTGGTGATAGGGTTTAATGCTAGGATTTAGGACTGTAAATGAGGATAAGTCTAAGAAATGGTTTAGAATTGATAGAGAGGGTTAGGATTCAAAGATAGGATTTTAGAGAGAGAAAATATGCTAAAAATCTTGCATACACAGAATTTTCAAGTGGGCAAAAGAAAGATTCTTTTGATATATTGGAAAGTATGACAAACCAATCAGAAAAAGGCTGAAAGGGTTGCATGGATGGGTGATGGATTAGATATTGTGGTTGGTATAGAGAAAGTGGTTTTAATGGGGCTTTCTGATATATCTAAGTTGGATGGTTTTTAGAGAAAAGTTCTTATCAAGAGTTTTGTAAAAACCAAATAAAGTTGAAGAAAGCAAAGAAACTTATTTGGAGGTTGAGAACCAATTAAAGAAATTGATGTCGTCTAATAGATGGTAAAAGAGAGATTAGTAGTAGAAAAAGAGAATAAGGGTGTAGGGAAAGAACATAAAACAGGATCCAAGAGCATAAAACCCAATTTCTTATTCCATTCTGACTCAAAGAGAAAAAAGAAAACAAATATACAAAGGTCACTAATGTGGCTCGGGTTACCATTCACCATAATTACAAACCCACTTGAGAGGAAAAACATTACAGCTTCTAACATATTGACAAAATGACTGAAACTTCAAAACAACCCTAACAGTGACCCAACTTATAACTTCCAACCCCACATAAAAACATAAAACAACAAAATTACCCTTATGACTGAGATTTCAAGAAAAATTCAAGAGAAATAGAAAATTCCTACACTTAACTTTAGGACCACTTTGGTTCCCACATCACCATGAGGTCAAAGGTTGGCAGGTGGTTACTTCTCCTTTAACTTCCAGGTAGATTAGGATACAGGAGTGGGTTCCACCAGATGGAGCAATCAAGCTGACTTTGATGATTGATCTAAGGGTGATAATGGTCCTGACATGGGAGTGTAAGACAGTGGATTTATATAAGTATATAAACCTGGCTGACCCGACATAAACCCAAGTCAGACTGAACCGGTTCAAACCAGCTATTTGCTTAATCAAAGCTTATTTGCATTAAATAGGACCCCATACCCATATGGGGACCCATTGTTAAGACTTTTATCAAACCTATTAACATTACATCCATCAAACCCATTATGGGGAGGAAAATTGAGATTTCCTCTATCCTTCTTTTCTCCCCTTTCTCTCTCTCCTCTCTGAATCACCGACATAGTTCACTGCCATTCTCTCCAGACTTTCGGAGTCAGACCACCACTGCCAAATGGGAGTCCACCATGCCTACAGGGAGGAGTATCAAGGGTAATGCCATTTATGTGTATTCATTGAGTGGATTCTTGATGGTTCCATAGGTCCCTGGAGCTTGAAGCACATATCAAAAATGTTAGACATCTAGCTTCTAGAGTGAATGTCATGTTCAGATTGATTCACAGATCTGCCAACTCGTAGACAATCTTGCCAGGTCTATGGTAGGGTGAATTGTACTTTTTTCCCTTTTTTTCCTGTTTCATGAATCAACTATATTGATAACTGAGATCACCCGAAGTTTGGGAGGTATCTTATTTAGGCTCTAGTGCCATACCCAGTGGTTCCGCTTGCTTCTCAAGGTTTGGGCAGTCCCACATAAGCTTATGAGCTTATGGGGTGGGAAAAGAAAATTTAGAATAGGGTGAACCCAGGGCCGGGCTGTATTTTGTAAAGCATTGGTTTGTAATGTTTGAATTGTTTCCTCTGTCTAATACAGTGTACTTGGTAGGCCTGCTGTTCATTGTCTGAGCAGTTTAGCTGTTTGATTAATGAATTTACTTCTGTTATCTATCAATATAATAATAATAATAATAATATAACCTTTACAGTTTAGAAAATAAGAGTATGTTTGATGCTCTACGATGTTTTAGTCCTTGTCTTTTTCCCACAGCTGTCATCATTGTGTTCCACACTCCACAGGGAAGACCTAGATCAAATACTAGACATTGAAATCTCCTGGACCTGCAATATTTGTACGCATTGGCAGTAATTGGCAGGGAAGACTGTTTTATTTGTATGCATTTCATTAAGCAAATAAGTAGGATACATAAAGGTCATCCTTCAAGAGAAACATGAACACATAATTGGCAGTAATTTTACAAACAAGAGAGAACAAACAAAACTCACTTGTCGTAATTGAGCATTAACTTCAGAAAGAAACCCCTCATCTAGCTGGCCTTCTTGCTCCCTTTGATTTATTTCCTGATAGACCACAAAAAAGTATTAAACTGCATAAATATGATTGAAAATCAATGACAGGTACAACGAACTTCAGTGTAGAATGAAAAGGAAGCAACATTCAGCAGGCATAACTTCCTTTAATTCTCTAGGCAATAAGTCAATACAATGGATGAGAAAGAAGACAAAAAAAGGACCGGAGATCTAAGCAATACATATCTGGGTATCCAAACAGGTTAAGATGGCACACTGACATGTTCTTGTCCAGATCAATAAGTGTACATATACAGTTAAAGAAATACTACGTTCTTTGTGGGCTTACACAGATTTAGCTAGCCAGGGGGAGGGGAGGAAACTAGAAAAAGACTCGTCAAAAAGTAATAATTACGTTCTCCATCAGAATGAGAGTTTCAGGATCTCTTGGGGGCCAGGAAATTTCCTCTGCTTCATGAACCACAGGTTTTAAAATTTCTTTCAGGACATCTGTTGAGGATTCTATTTTTTCCTGCAGACAAGATAACTAGGTAATCTGAGATACAAAAATAAATAAATAAATAAATAAGCAAATTAAATTAAAAAGAAAAAGTAAAACCAACTTAGTAATGATTTGGGCACATCTTATTTCTAATAAATGGGGCACATCCATTGTTTTAAAAGGCTTAAGACTTGAGGTGAGGCACAGATTTTGCCTCAAGGCTTAAGCCTCACAACTTTGATGTGAGGCTTAAGCCTTTGTCAGAATGAGGCGTAAGCCTCAAGCCTCAAGGTGTGAGGTGTAGCCTGAGGCGTAAAAAGGCGAGCCTCAAGTATCAATGATTACTTAGTGATTTAATGCAAAAAAAAACATACATTTTTATATTTAAAACATATAGGAAAAACACTTCAATAATTATATGCCAGATAAAAAAAGTAAAAAAGAGAAACCAATAAGGCAAATCAAACTCTATTAGTTTTTCTTAGTGTTTTAAGAGAGTTCAATGCAAAAAGGACTAATCAAGTTCTTGGTTTCTTTTGGACAAATAAAGTGAGATTTTTTTTATTATTCTAAATGTAATGTCTCATGTTTGTTATTTTTCTCATTTCTTCTACTAATGGATCTTTTTTAATAATAATAATATTATTATTATTATAAATCAAATCAACTAAGTTGTTTCCTTTCTTCTAAATTGGTTTTTTTATATGAAAAGTAAAATTTTATAGTTGTTAGTTGATTAGTTATTATATTATTTAATGCTTAAATGCCAAAACTTATAGTTTATGGACATGTGTACTTTCTATCATTTTAATTTGGCATATTATATGCTATTTTCATCAATTTACAAAAATTAATTAATTTTCCTTGAACTTTGAGGCTTACCCCTCACCTTTTTGGGTCATTACGCCTCAACTACGCCTTTAGCCATTTAAAACCTTGGGCACATCTTGGAAATAGCCTTTCTGTATATCTGCAGGGATAAGGTTGTGTACATCTGTCCCTCCACACACTCCACATTGGCGGGAGCGTCATTTATTGGGTAGCCCTTTTATACCTCGTGAAAAATTTGCCACTCACCTGACAGCAAGTTTTTCAGAAGACATGCCTGCTTCCAGAATCTGGAATCCAACCTCTCCCTCAAAAAACAATGCTCTGGTGTGGACCACAGCTCTAGACAGGTGTTTAACTAACCCACATATTTAAGAGGGGTCCAGCTTCAGGATCAGAGTTGTGTTTGTGTGGTCAAGAAGTGGAAGACAACAGTCACCTGTTTCTGCACTGCTTTATCTCTGCTAGAATTTGGAATCATTTTCTCTATTCAATGGGTCTTGCTTGGACTATGCCAGCTTCAGTGAAGGAGATGCTGTGGAGTTGGGGGTTATAGGGGTTGTCAAAGCTTGCTTCAGCTGTGTGGATGTCCATTCCTGCTGCAGTCATCAGTACCATTTAGGCAGAAAGGAACAAAAGACTATTCCAAAATATCTATAAGGATTTAGAGGACCTGATGTCAGAGTCAAATCGAAAAGATAGAGAGGAAAAAGAGAACACAACAGTTTGGTGGGTGTGTCATCTAGTGGTTGTTGACACCCTAAAAGAAATATTTATATTAAAGAAAGTAAAAGGACAACTTTGCCCTTAGTGTACAAGAAAAAGAGTACAAAAAAGATAAATGTACAACAAAAGTAAAAGTACAAAAATAGCCCTTTGGTTAGATCTTCTCACTGTCTCTACACTCCCCCTCAAACTGATGCCTAGGAATAAGCATCAGTTTGTCCACGAGAAATACATGTCGGGCCTGAGTCATTGCTTTTGTCAGGAGATCACGGGTGAAGTGGCAATCAACTTCTATGTGTTTGGTGTGTTCATGGAAGACGGGGTTGGAGGCAATTTTGATTGCACTAACATTGTCTGCATGGAGAGGAACGGACGGTGATGGTTCATTAAGTATATCAAGTAGGAGAGCCCAGAGACATAATTTCACTACACACAGAAGACATTGCTATGTATTCAGCTCCAAAGGAAGATTTTGATATAGTGGGTTGTTTCTTGCACTTCCACGAGATAAGAGATTTTGATACACACCAGCCGATAATGGATCGTTGGGTGTTAGGGCATCCAGCCCAATCAGAATCTGCATAAGCCGTAAGGATAATGGGGGATGAAGAAGAGAAGAATATCCAATGTGATAAAGTACCCCACACATATCTAATAATCCGATGAACTGTACATAAATGTGGTTGTCTTGGGGAAGACGCAAATTGGCTCACCAGTTGAACTACATATGATATATTCGGCCGAGCCATGGTGAGATAGATTAAACTACCCAATAGTTGAAGATAAAGAGTAGGGTCTTCAAGAGGAGAACCATCATCTTTACTGAGCTTCAAATTCAGTTCCAATGGAGTATCCACAATCTTGGAGTCACTAAAATTGGCCAGTTTAACAAGATCAGCAACATACTTTTGTTGGTTAACAAAGTAGCCCCAAGAATTTTGGCTTACTTCAAGCCCCAAAAAATAAATCAAAGGGCCCAAGTCCTTCATCTTAAAGGATTCACTGAGTAATCGTTGCAGTTCAGCAATTCCTTCTACATCATCCCCGGTAATGAGTATATGATCAACATAAAGAAGTAAGATTGTTAATCCTTGTTTCCGCCTTAAGGTGAATACAGAATAATCTGAAGAACTCTGGATAAAACCTGCATCAGTGGTAACAGATCTGAACTCCTCAAACCAGGCTCTAGGACATTGTTTCAAACCATAAAGGTACTTCTTCAAACGACAAACAAGTTGTGGATCTACACAACATCCAGGAAGGGGCTTCATATAGATTATTTCCTTCAACTCCCCATTGAGGAATGCATTCTTTACGTCCATCTGATGAATCATCCATTGTTTGGATGCAGATATAGCCATCAAAAGTCGTATAGTAGTCATTTTTTCTACAGGAGCAAAGGTCTCCTCATAGTCTATCCCATATTCCTATTTATAGCCTTGTGCAACCAGCCTAGCCTTATATCTATCTAGGCTCCCATCATATTTCAGTTTCACAAAGTAGGCCCATTGACTTCCTATAAGAGATATCTCAAGTGGAGCTTTGACCAAATCCCAGGTGTCATTCTCAAGAAGGGCTCAAATCTCAAAATCCATGGCATCTTTCCAGTGTGGTTCTACTATAGCCTGTTGGTAAGATCCGGAAATGTCTGTAGTAGATAAAACAACAGAAAAAGGAGCTATGGTTTGGTGAAAAACCATAGCGGTCAGGTGGGCGAGAAATTCTAGAGGAATGACGTAAGGTGGGTGCAACAGGTTCAAGAGGAGGATCAGGTGCACTTACTAGGGTAGTTGGAGTAACTAGATCAGCAACTGGTGGTGGAAAGGAGAGGGGCATTGAGACTAAAGTAGACCGCTGCCTCCTGAAGTAAGTCTGAAGTTGCTGTGGAGGTGATGTTGGTATGCTTGAAGTAACTGTAGAATTAAAACTATGCAACAAGGAAGTAGAGGGAGTAGGAAATTTTACAATATGTTCAAAGGACACACTCTCAAAGAAAATTACATTACGAGAAATTCGAATACAATGAACCGAAGGATCATAACAAAGGAATCCTTTATGTCCAGAACTGTACCCCATAAAGGCATACAAAGATGCTTGTGTAGTTAGCTTTGTGCGCTCATGAGGTGGAAGGTGAACAAAACAAGCACATCCGAAAGACCCTAAGCCTAGATAGATCTGGAGGTTTGTGGAAAAGAGATTGGAAAGGAAAAGAATTGTTTAAGACTGATGAAGGAAGATGATTTATGAGATACACAGCAGTGTTAGCCACCTCCACCCAAAACCAAGAGGGTACATAGGAATCTTATAGAAGTGTTCTGACTACACTCAAGATATGCTCATTCTTTCTTTCTGTTGCCCCATTTTGTTGCGGGGTACCTGGATAGGATTTTTGGAATTGAATTCCATGTTGTTTTAAGTAGGTTTGAAAATCCTCATCAAAGTACTCTCCCCCTGAGTCCGATCGTAGCACACATATTTAGAAATCAAATTGGGTAGTAACATAAGCATGAAAGTGTTTAAATACAGAATAAACTTCAGATTTCTTTCAAAGAAAATAAACCCAAGTAAAATGGGTGCAGTCATCAATAAAGGTTACAAAGTACTTATAACCCAACCGTGAAATAACAGGAGACAACCAAACATCACTATGTATTAAATAAAAGGGAACTGTAGTATGCTCAGAGTGAGAAGGAAAAGGTAAAATGTGACTCTTACACAAACCACATGTAATGCAATCTTTGTTAACATTCTTAAAAGAAGTAGCAGAAATAGGTAAACTACCAGAAGCAAACAACTGATCAAGTTTCTTAGAAAAGGGATGGCCAAGGCGATTATGCCACAAATGCCAATCATTATTACTGTGAGAATTTGAGAGAAAAAATGAATTGATTGTATTGTCTTGGAAGGAGCATATACACAACTTTATATAGAATTACAGAGCTAACTTACAGGGTGATAAAATAGGAAACTAACTTTTCCTAAAAAACTAATTTTTATATCAGTGAGATTCTCCAATTAATATCCCATGATTTAGGATATCCCATGATTCTAAGAAACTAACTTATGT